CGGAAAACGGCGAGGTCTCGAAATATGGAGACCGCGGCCAGCAGACCGCGCGGCCGTCCGGGCGCTGCGCACAATGGTATACGATTGTGGAAGGTCCCGAACCCATCGAATCGGATCGTGTCCTACCCTGTAACCGTCTTCATCGATGAAGCTTGGAATGCATGCAATCAACTGGGCTGCATGTGCCACATCGCATTCCGGTCGAACTGGAATCATCAGGTCGACAACGGAGAAGGTGGGAACACACCAGGCAGAGGACATGCCAATTAGTCACGTCCCAACTGGAACGATCACAGCACGAAGCCAATTCCTGCCCAGAATCGACAAATTATTTCCGAATCGCAGGCTTGGTGACACACCCAATGAGACACGACACTGAAGTTTCGTCTTCTGCGGAGACAGCTTTGCGTTCACACTATGTGTTGTTTCTTTACTGCAAAGGAATAGCTCGGGATGCGGGCTCCTCTTGTCTCGGACCGCCCCATCACCGTGGCAAGCCCGTCCGCTGCCACCGAGTGTCACCGAACAGCTACACTGCCACGATCTCGACTAGTCTTGATGCTTTTCCAGGCGGCCACAGCCAGCAAGACTTCAAGCCAGCGCATGAGCAGAATATCGGCGTTGTGCCACAGCAACAAACGAGTCCACCCCCACCCGTGCGCAATCACAATCGTAAGCGTGAAGGCAGCTTCGCTTGAGCATCTACGTTGTTCTTGCAGCCTCAAGGAACTCTTCGCACGCACGGTCCTTGTCACACATCTCCAGCAAGCTGCCCGCTTGGCCAACCCTCTCATATCTGGTCCCCTGGACCTCGCATTGCATGCATCATCAGCCCAGGTTGCAGCGCAGCGGTAGCGAAGCACAGCACGGTGACACAGAGGTTGAGCTCATTGCACTGTCGGCATCCCTGAGGTGCTCCCATCCATCGACTCTCGCCGGTGGGAAACGCTTTATCCGATGCGTCCTTATCGGAAACGTCCAAACACGTCCAGGCCCGGGCTCTCCTGACGACTGAGACTCGTGCGGATTCCTGTGCCGCTCAGTAGACTCTTTGTTGAATTTGGCATTCCTGGCACAGAATCTGAGGTTTTTCACTGAACCTTTGTGCAGGCAATGCTGGCTCTCCTGCCCCACTCCAAGGCCTTTCGAAACTCCTGCACGCTGACCTGGCTCCGGCTTGAGGCCATGCCATCCACATGCTGGCCTATACTCTGGACAAACGCAACCTCTGCCTCGTCAAAGTCAGAAATCAACAGCAAAGAGAAGGGCACTGTAGAAACTCCAAGGCTTCATGTGCAGGCAATTTGTGCTTCGACCACGTCGACGAAACTATCCACATACAAAGGCGAACACAAGTACAAAGACTAATACGAATCAAACACATACACTGCATCCGTACATCATGCATACCAACATCTGTGCATGCATGCATGCATGCACCTATGGACCGAGAGAGCTCGCTCGATTGTCTGCACAAGCAGCATCTGAGCAAACATGACGATTGTGCGGCACCACTGTGATCCTCGTCGATTGCCTTGGTTGGAACGAAATGGCTGCACTTTCTCAAAGCAACAAGAGCAGCCATGTGCCCACAAACAATGCTACAACTGCTTGGACTGCTTGGCGAGCAGCATCAAATATGGCCACGACCTCCTGCTCTGAAAGGGAGGGCAGCACCCTGCAAAGTCTCCAAAATGCTTCACAAAGTACGAGAGCATCCATTGGATTGAGAGCCTTGCAAGATGAACCTTGCCTGCTTGTGCCCATTGCACAATCGCCAACAAGCCACACCCAAGATTCTCCAACTTGATACGACTGTGCCAGCAACCAAGCATGAAAGCACGTCTTGGACTTGCAGCTTGCTGAAACCCCATCAAAACCGAAGCGAAATGCACAAGACTCCACACCGATGCAATGTCTTACGTGCATGATGCTTGCTACCTGCTGCCTGACAAAGCTTTCACATCTGGTCGTGCCTGGTACATTTATATGCATCTGAAAACTTGACCATGCGCTATGGCACACCCGTCCCTGGTATCGATTCCGGCTAGTTGCCCGAACATTAAAGTTTCACTGCCTGCACAAAGCATGTTTGACCTCAGGTCTGCTCAGCGAATAATCCTCGGAGCGGACGCTTTGACACTATTTCTGGCGAATGCAGTCTCCCCATCGAGAATCCGACGCCGTCTGCATCAACATGATGGAAGATGTCCTGTCACACGAAGCAAATAGCCGGACTGGAGCAGAAATCAAACGGAAATGCAAGAAACGGAGACCTCGAAGCCTGCACGACAGGCTCAGGCCTAGATTCGAAAGTCAAAATCCCCACTTCGGCTGACACAGGCAAGTAGACGGACTCAAGCAACAACGAGTTCCTTAGGGTTGAGGGCCAGTTGAGGTTGGGAGTGGATTAGGATTCGCTCGAGTTGTTGTGATTAGAATTTGATGGCTTCATAAACTGACACATCCGGGGCCCAGAGGCTGGCTTCAAACTTGTGTAAGCACTCTGGACTCTGAATCCAGCATGCTTCGTGAGGCATTGTGTCATTTCATTTGGAGATCAAAGCCAAGCAGGCCCCAAACGGAGTCCCGACACTGCGGTGGTATTTGAAGCTTACAGGGATGAGTTTGAGACCGGCTTCAGCGAGGCTTCACGTGCAGTTCCCTAACACTGGACCCTATTGATGAGGCCTGTGAGGTAGCACTTTGAAGCCCCTCCTCAGCGAGGCTTCAAATGCCAGCCTCTCTGGGCCCCAATCTCAATTCACTAGGGCGGTGTTTGAAGCCTCTGGCGTGTGAGTTTGCAGCCATGTTAAACGCGGCTTCACGCGCAAATCAACAACACTGGGCGGTCTTTGATGACTGGAAACTAGTTCATGCTTGCTTGTGCCGTTTCTGTGGTTGCAGATCTTGTACGTGTGAGATCCCGGCCGCCATTGGAGGTGTTAGCAACTGCTCCCTCGCTGAGGTGATGCAGAGTGTATAAGAGGTACTCTTTGCACCTTTGGCCTTGAGTTGTCTGACTCCCTGAGCTCACACTGTAAGGCTATTCACCTCCAGCAGGTGGTTCGCCTGCCTGGCTTTTTGATTGTTCTTGTCCTTCGAGGCATCTCGCCCCTGTCATGGCAAGCATATTTTCGGAGGATGCATGATGAAGCCTGGTAGCTCAGTTGTTGTCTTAAAATACAATACCACCAAGACAGAGAAGCCGAGTCAATTCTTGATAGAAGAGTAAGCTGATGTCGCTGTGGGTCAGTGTCACTTGGCATTAATGATGCAGCCGGCAGAAGCAGCAGAATTTTAATCCGTTTTCTGTCATGGTTCAACGACCACTGTAGAATTGCGCAGCGAGGAGGCGGTTTGCTGACTGGCCTATGGACAGTTTTTCTGCGCCGCACTGAATTTCTGGGACACGGCAGACAACAACGCTCACACGTGTTACAAACTGGACGAATAGCATGGATGCAATAAAACTCCGGAGATGTGCACAGGCCGAACCTGTCAAGTTACACAACTTCATTGCTTCGAACGATTACCAGCGTTGAGGTGACTTTAATCCTCGAAACTGGATCGTTTGTATGGCTAGCCAAAGTCAGCATGCTTGCAGACAGCGGTTAGGCTTCACTCCAATTCAGCACTTGCAATGCAAATACACTGAACAGATACAAATTCACGGGATTCGGAATTCTTTAGCCTGCCGGGATCCATTCTGCAACCGGAAGTATGTACACCCTGTCCTCCAGCTTCACATTTCTGTCGCCACAATATGTCGCGAAACGCGACAAAACCGATTTCCCCCAGGCCCTGGCAGACATAGAGTTGCGTGTGTGGTACCAGTGTCAATGCTGATAACTCAACAGTTGGGGCACTTACGGATCTTTGTTGAACGGATCATGTCTGGCCTCAGTGTTTGCAGACGTTGGGAGGTTGCCCCACCACACAAGCCGCTTACGTACCCCAACCATTGCCGCACGTGCTGGAGTCTACGACAGAAGCGCCAGAAGGATCACACACTCTCAGAACATAGCAAATTGTCAGCAGACCCCAAGCTCGTGACACGTGCAAAGGTGCGGTATGTTGCCTGCGAGCAAGGTCCGCAAGGTAACTGAAGGCTGCTAAGTGTGCTAAGTGTTGAGGCACCGTGGAGAAGCTAAGGCCTTCATCTTGGCTTCGCTGAAGAACTTGTATTTCTTCTCCCATGATCTTCACCAGGTGCCACAATGCACTCTGATATGTTCGGGACTTCTGAGCCGGCCGCCTTTCTTGCTGCGGATCATACACCCGCTCTGCATCCCTGCACAAGGCTTCGCGGAACGAAAAGACAAGCTTTGCAGCTTTCACTGTCGAACCTGAGCAGCTCCTGGGCCAATCGGCCTCGCCGCAGGTAGCTGGGATCCTGCGAGTACTCACGAGCTGCCCTTACAAGGCGCATGCGGCCCGGCCCGGCCCGTGCCTGTGCGGCCAGCGCCTTCAATCGGTCGGGTTCCTGTCTTTTTCCCGCCGTGCGCAAGCTGTCAAGCCAGCACACCCCAGCAAGAAATCAGTCGCCTGATGCATGTCGCTTCTGTCTTGAAGCGTACCAGCTCGCCAGCAGCACGGAACGTTTCATGGAACTATATCACACACTCGTGCTGCCATTCAGATTGACAATTGCTCTGGTTCTCGCGCAGCGTTCGGATGGAACTGTTGTACTTGCGGTGCTCTGAGATGTTGAAACCAAGAGCAGTATGAGAAGCCTGACAAATGCATCGTCCAGTCTTGTGGCTCATGCCAGTCCATGTCGGACTAGCTTCTTGGATTCGATCCGAACACAGCCTGCCTGAAACACAAAATGCACTGTTCAACCCGAAATGCCCACAGCCCTCTGGCCATTGAGCTGCAGAATCAACACTCGTCGGGTAACTCTATCTAGCGCCACCTCGCACCTCGTTCCAAAGTATGTTATATGTTGCTACTTCCAAAGAGTCGAAGGCCTTCATGAACCAACAGTCACAGTCCAATCATCGCTGGATTTCAGAGCTTGACGACACACCGAGAAGCCGGAACTTCTCATGAACCATGCTGAAGCGTATCTCTGTGCTATGCTGTCTTTTTGCTTCGAGCTGGAAGGTCTCAGCCTTGGGCGAAACCTTCGCAGTCAGCCTCGGAAGCAAGGCTAGGCCAGGCATCATGGCTAGGCTGCGGAAGGGGCCTCCCAAGGCGATAACGCAGGCGTTCCAAAGCATCGGCCTGCGCAAGCTCGGCAGTGGCGCGAAGAAGCGGTGCGCTGCCGCCGCAGCCAGGGACCCAACCGGAGCCACGGCGGTTGCAACCTGCGTCGCGACAACATGCGACAACCCTCCCCGTCCTGCGACCTCTCTTTCTGAGTCGGGAGCTTCAAGCATATGCAAAGCAGAAGACACCTCTGGCAAACCGACCGCTCTTTCCAGGTGCGACATGCAGCTGGGACAAGATTGCTGTTCATGCTCGGCCTGAGTTGGTGTGGCTTCCGCCGCGTTCAGTTCCAAGTACTCCACTGCCTTCGAAGCACCAGACAGCGAAAGGACAGAGAAGAGAAGTTGAGACTGGCTCTTTTGCCCTAAAGTAGGCTATGGCGATATGCGAACTACGATGCGTTGTTGCACTCCTCCCATTGAGAGTAACACGCCCACGTTCATGCAGAACATGCTACGTGGTGCCGGGCGACATGTCAGGAACACTCAAAAAAGCTTATCACCCGGACACACATGACACACATCAAAGCCGTCCTATGCAACTCAATGAAGGACTGCTGCGTAGGCTCGAAGCAGAGTTGGATCAAACTGGGAAGCAGCGAACTCCTTTAGTCGAAACAATCGCTTGCAGCATTCCCTATGCATGCCTCGAACAACATCACTTCCCGCCGCAGCTCCGCGGCTCGCTCATGGTGATCCTGGACACTCCCAGCAACCGCGTCCACGGCGCAGCACAGGGGCCCGCCGGCCTGCGTCACCTGGGTTTTCCTTTCCTCGGACGGGAGCAAGGCGGGGAGCAAGGGAGCGAAGCGGAGCGAAGCGGCACTCGTTCGAAGACTGAAAGCTCGCTGCCAGCAGCTTGCTGCACTCGTTAAGAAGGTGAGCCCTCAGAGCAGGGCACCAGACTCACGCTGTTCAGGCACGGCACCATGCAAACCGGGGATACTTCGTCTTCTACTCCACTTGCTTTCACAGCCCCATGCTAGGCTGCTAGGCCATCCTAAACCAGTCACCCAGCATACCGCAGATTTTGAGTGCAGGTGCTGCGCAACTGGGCATGTGCCCGCTGTGGAAGGGATCCCACCCGTGCCGCCCGTGCCGCCCGTGCCACCCCGCCAGCTTGCAACAAAGCATCGGCCGGCGGAGGCAGGCCTGAACACTTACCCGATACTGGAGACCAAGGTGATAATGGTGATAAGAGCCGAGGTTGTTCGTGCCTGACCTATAGTGTTGGGACGTGTGGGGAACGCGGAGAGACGACGGTGGGCTGCCCCCTTTCAGCCCTTGAACCAGAAAGTAATAGTTTTGGCTACAGCTCCGTCTCGTGTGGCATGTACTAGTTCGACTTGTGCTACCAACTTCTAAGGCGCCTGCGTCAACTTCACCAAACTTTCCTGCTGCCCAAAAGTGCCCAGGGTTCCGCTTGCTCTGCTGCACTGTGCCACAGTGCCTCGCTCTTGGGCCAGTCTGCGGCTGCCACAGCCGCTGAACAAAGGGCTTGCGGCAGCCGAAGCCTAGAGCAAAGCAGCAAAGCCAATGCAGAGAGCAGAGCGAAGGCGCATCGCTCAGGCGCATCCCCGGGGCGCGAGCTGCATGGCCTCAAGAACCTTCTTTCTTTGGGGCGAATTTAAACAAAAAGCATCCGATGTTGCATTTTGCTCGGGGTTTAAAGCATCCGATGCAAGCCTCGTTCTGCAGTCTTAGGCGAAGGTGAGGATCCAAAGGAACCAGCATCTGTCGACCAGCGTCCCAAGCAAGCTCGCGAGCCTGAACGAAGGGCGTGACGTGTGCCCAATAGCTTCTGGTCGAGGCAGTGCCTCTGAACGGCTTTGATAGTCCTGCGCGCAGCAGGTGCATCCACATTTTCTTCAACGTCCACACATTGCCTCCAGGTTTTCTGCCAAACACCGGATCACTTCCAAAAAAACCAGGGACGGCTGCGTCCTGCAACAACTACAATGATGCTCATTAATTGACGGGCAACAACCACAAACCATCTGTCTTGTCATGTTTTGTCAGGAATGCCTTATCCCTTCTCAGCAACACTTCTTGCTGGCTCCCGTGCGGGAAGCTGAACATGTAGGCGATTCCGAGGCATAAGAGCGGAAATGTTGCGTTCAACCCACCAATGCACCGGCTTCCGGAAGCTGAACCTTGCTTGTAACACTGACCACTGCTCTTGCTATTGTTTGACCTCCAAGGTTTGCAAGGATACGCGATCTTGGGGCGAGAGTGGGCGCAGCTGACAGCGTCAAACGCGCCATCAATGGTCATGTCGGCACATCCCTCATCACCCGCCACCCAGGTGCTCTTGGCCACGATGAACATCCTAGGCCCTGCCTAGGCATAACGCAGATGACAGATGACAACGGGAATGTGTTTCAGTCGTTTCCTCGCTGTCGTATTTCATCCCTGCTTCCTTCCGGACTTCCTTCTCCCACTATGCAAAGGATAAAATTGTTAAAGCCTGCAACTCTTGGATGGTAAAAGCATGGAACATTCATCTGCGGAGAAGCGTTTGTGATTGACACCTTGACCGTCTAAAGAGCTTGCTCGAAGTAAGGAGCCGCAGAAAGAACGGCACAGATGAAAAGGATGCACAAGGCACAGCCACCTTCTTCGAAGGTAGTGCAGGCATCGCTCTGCAGCCTGCATCGCGAATGCTCGAAAAGTACGGCACCCAAGCAGACCGCCACCTCGTACTCGAAGTGCAAAGCCACCTCCTGGTGAAACAACTCCTGAACCTCTCGCCCCAAAGCATTTCGCAACTTCGCCACCTCGCCAGGCCAGGCCTTGCTGTGAAAAGTGCCGTCCAACTTGGCCTCCTCATCTTCGGCGCCAAGGAAGCGTTCCTTACACACTCTCAGCCCTTAAACCTTCTGTTGAATCTGTTGCAGACAGAGTACACAGCCGTTGCCCATGGAGGCTCGAAACCCGACACCGTCTCTTCCGTCACATCGGCAGCATTCCCCCAGTCCCTACCCTTTCTGCTGTGGCACCAGTTGACGAATCGCCAGTTGCAGAGCTGCGCACCACGGGCCGCAATGGGATATGCTGTATTGCCGCGCAGCAAGAGAATCGGATGGCTCCCGCACGTCCAAACAATCTGCATGTGTGATTGTATGCAGTGCCCCACTGCCCGCTCTGCTAGGGCTGTGACCAGCAGGTGCGCCCACCTTGAGAATGAACCGCGACAAACTGTATTGCAGTGTCTACATGTTTGCCGCTTGCATGCCAACCTCGACTTGGCTGCTGGCTGGGAGTTCAGCAAAGTGCCTCTGCCTCGCACACATGCCTTGAAGCAGTCTGAACTGTAGGATCGTCCATTCGCATCGCAGTGTCTCATGATGGGTCTCATGGACAGAGATCCATTCCCGTCGTAGCCTTCACCCTGTGAAGAAAACGAATCACTTTTCATCTGCCAACCTCAGCCTGCTTTGTTCCTGACTCGCCTGAAGTTCGAGACGATTGGTGGCACGAACCTTCTACTAGGAGGCCCGAGACGCCACATCTTGCACTAAGGATGCGGCCTCAGACACGACCCCAGCAGCTAGCAGCCTGACGGGGCCACTTTGAAGGCTTCATTGAAACCAAAGGGCCAAAGCTGCTGAAAAGGCATTCTAGGTAACAAGATTTGGCCTACTCTTGCAAGCGGCCTGTGCAAGCACAAGGACACCTGCCGCTGCCTGAGCTACTTTCAGGGCTGCTGTTTGGAGCTTTGGGCGGCAGCTGTGAGACCGAGACAACTCCAGGTTGGAGGGATCACTATCGCAGAGATGCAGGAGCTCATCGACGACTTGGCGTGGCTGACCTGAACATGCAATCTTACAACATGCCACAACAGCCCTCAAGAGCAACAGCTTGGCGGCGCAACAAATCGCATTCTCACACAGCCTGCACAAGTCACACAGGCTGGCAGTGATACGCAGCAGTCTGCGAAAATGCTGGCTCGGCCAACGGTGTCCGGGAAAGCCTCTTCAACGAGTCGCAAAGCATGGACAGCGCCTGAAGTCAGGTTGGTGACTGAAGTCGTGAGATGTGGGGCTGCGGAAAACAGTAACAGAACACGGCTAAACATGGGCACGTACCATTCCGCTGTGACATTCACGAGCAAAGGCCGTGACAACATCTGGGGTCTCGAGAGAGGCCACAATGCATTTCACCTTCTCAGCGTAAAATCGCGAAGTACAGGGCTCGGCCACAGATCAAGTCCACGGCCATGGCACCCTCACCACCACCCTGTGCAAGCCGTGCAAAAGCCTGGATCCAGCGAGGGCAAACCTTCGTTCGAGCTTTCTGGCTTTGCGGTCCTCGCACATCAAGCCCTGCAACTTGGAGTCACTTGGATGAGATAAAGCGGCCTGGAGACGGCACACACGGCAGACGCACCGCAGGTGGCAATGCACCCCAAGCGGCCTGCCTCTAGCACCACAGGGAGGGCCAAAGGTGCAATCAAGGTCGCCACATCCTGTGCGTACGCAACACCTTAGATGCGCGAGACATGGAATCCTGCGGGGTTGGATGCGCTTGGATCGAATCATCATGTACAAGACATCCATGTTGCCCCGCTCCAACCAAACTCCACACAACCCTTTGCATGTTCCGAATTGGATGTCCGAGTCCACAAAGGTCACAGATGCACACTGGTTGTAGAGTTCAGCGCTTGCCATGCCGCAGTCGTTTCAGAGCTTAGGCTTTGAACGCCCCCACTGCTCTTCTGGTTAAAATCGCTAGCTCTTCAGCAGGGTTTTACAGCTTGCAAGTCCGCACCGGCAAAGTGTTGCGGCATGAGGAAATTCATATTCACAGTCACACATAAAGACCTATCTACAGAGCTACCCTACCAATGCACAACCATTTACTTCCTCACTTGCATACTTACTTACTTCTTGCCTTTACTTACTTGCTTGCTTACAGGAACGTGTATGCACGAATACGAAGGGATATCGGTACGCATCTCAGCATTTCAGCCATAGACGGTCAATCCAACACTCGCTAAGCTTGTATTCGTGTGTGATTTGTTTCAGCAGCAGGGCTTAGTCTTCTCCACACCCGCACACTGTTCGTTGCGTGTTGCATCAATCGTGCCGATGTTGGACATTCTCAAAGTAGCATGTTAGTTGGTCCTAGGCAGCTGCTGGGACATATCCTCAAAAGTACTTCCCCGCGCATGCCCACATATTTCGTTCATTGTGACATATCACACACATCGTGCTATACATGTATGTATGTATGTATGTATGTGTGTATGTAGGCATGTATGTATGCGTATATACACATATACATGGGCACACACGTGCACATGTCCTCATAGCAGCATGTGTTGTTATCCATGGTTAAGACTCTGCATCTGCATGTGGCAAAGGATGCGCAGATGTTTCGTGCACAGATATGTGCACACATGGAGACTTCAGAGAGCTGGCGACCTCACATATCTCACTCAAAAAGGTTAGATTCACTAGGTTATACATGAGTAGCACGGGAGATATCGAAGAACCACTAGCAGCGAGGGATTGACAGGCAACAGAAGCAGGCAAAGCGTAAAACAAGAAGCACACAAGGAAACTCTTTGCAAACAGTAACTCGGCTACACCTCTATGTATGATTACATTTGTGCAGGTTGGCATTGGAATGGCATGTTAGCAAGGATTGTCATTATGCACATCTTCGCATACAACATCTGCAACTCCATCGAACCACGGCAAACAAGCCAGCAGCATTATGCAGTGCAGGCGTGTGTGTGTGTGTGTGTGTGTGGGGGGGGTGTTTATGCGTGTATGGTTGTGTGAATGATGATTGCAATGATAGTGTAGTTTCTCGCTCCGGTACCGTCTCTTTCTTTTGCTTTGCGCCAGTCCCTTCGGTCTTGCTTGTTTGTGCCGCCTGCCTTGTCTGCAATGCCAAGTAAGGAGATAGACATTGCTATTCGTGTTTGTTTGTCTAAACTCTTTGATCGATCCTTGACTGTAAACAAACTGTACAGACTGTTCGATCCTGTTGATGCTCGTCGATGTTCCTATGACTCCCATGATGAACATCTGCTGGTCGCTTTGATTTCGGACTGATTTCTGAGATCCCAGCTGCTAAGCGCACCAATCGCCATTCGCTGCACATTCAAATTGTGTCGCCTTTGGCATATAGACAGCGTCACAGCATCTGACTAAGCTGCCTTGACGAAGCAGTAACTTCTGCTGGCTTGGCACCAGGCATGGACGCCGCTGACGTTGCAATGGCTGATACAACTCCCAAGCACAGCGGTCGCAGCTTGGACACATCCTGCTCCAGCTTAGACCCACAAACCCATCAGTCTTCCATCTGTTGGTGGCCTTCGCCAAACGACCGACAGCCTGCAAGCACGCACGCTGTAAGCCTTGGTACATGGTGCATTGCCGACAGTTAGACATGAAGCCGTTAGACATGAAGCCGACTCACGCCGGCTCTTGCAAAGTCAGCCAGGCTGCGCTCATCGTCAAGTTTGCAGCTCATAACTTCGAGCACCTTCGAGTATGTGAGCTGTGCGACAGCTTGCAACACTGTCAGAACCCTCCAAGCTGTTCTTGCATGGTTCCTTTCATGACGGGACTGCAACCAACGACATGCAACAATTGGTGTGTGACCCTTCTTCCTCCCGAGGTCGGCACGACGGCCAGGTCGGTCGCGTCTTCGCCAATCACTGGTGACGACGAGAAGAAGGAGGACGAAGGTGAGAAGAGCCGCGATTTGTGAGTGGCATCAGAAGTTGGAGGGCCATGTGGCGGACTGGCGGAAGCCGCAGAATCGGTTCGATCTCGAAGTTCCGGAAGCTGTGCTGGCATTCAGCGTTTGTCTTCGCAATTTGTTGGGAATTTCCGAACCGTTTCCCCAAGCTGCAGCTCCACTTGCTGGATCCCACGGCGCCATGGCACAACAAAAAGAAAGACGCTAAGCGATTTTTTTCATGCAAATGCCCATGGACACTAACTGTGGTAGGTGCTGTGAACTCCAACTTCAAGAATTCTGCTGGGGTGTCATTTGTGAGGCGAAACTGTTCGGCCTGAGCCGATGCAATTCCATGATTTCCAGGAACCGCGCTCATCTGACTCCGTCGGAGCAAGCAAACCCTAAAACGGTACGACCTACGCATGTCGCCATGAATGTTCATGGTCAAACTTCGTAGCTGCAGAAATCAGGCATTATGCTGACCGATCGGGAGTTGTAGAAACCATCATAGCCTCTGAGCACAACAGCTTCCTTCGCGGAGCAACAAAAACCCTGGTTGAAACCTGCTTCCTCATCCATAGACAGATAACTGGATAGCTACGTAGATAGATAGCTGGGTAGTTTCAAACAGATAAATAGATGGATCGGAAGCCAAGCATATCAAATTTGTTCAAACTCGCGTCTGTCAACTCGAGCAAACCACGGCAAACATAACAACGGCACCACATGAGTTCTGTCATTCACTACGTATCTACCGAAACATGACAGCACGTGAAAAACCGTCAGTTTGCACCCAGTCCATGCAAGCTTCGGTTGTCAAGATAATACGATTGTTCCCGAATGTTGACAGAATCACAAACAACCACATCGGACAAAGCAAAAGGACAATGCATGGTTGCGGCAACGCACTCAAGGAGCATTGCAGCGGTCCTTCTCATGCCTTTGGCTGAAATGCACGAACCTGTGGACATGAATGACATGTGTGTCGGTTCGCAAAACCTTGTTGGAGAGCACTTTCATCTGTCATGCTTCGACTTGGAGGCTGGCTTGGTGCCACACTTCGCAACAAACCATGCTCTGGCTTGAAAGTTGTCGGATCCTGGTTGCATTGCTGCTTGTTTTCAAGGTTGTCAGACAGGCGAATTCAATTGCTGTCTCTTGTGAAGTTTTTGCCATGACAGCCATCAACATCCAGCTCATACTCCTTACAAGCACTACAGCATCATTCTCTTCTCCAATTTATGTTTGTTTCCAAGGAAGTTGGATCTGTAGAGCGGCAAAAAATTTCTCGTTTCGCAACACTTTGGAAATCATTAGACTCCAACTGTTTTGAGCAAGCAGATTGATCCACCAAGACGGTTTCAGGAGTCTCTCTTTTTTTCGACCCAAACTCTTTTGAGCTTGGTCCATCTTTTCAATCCCACTTGTTTTCAGCCCACGACGATTACACCCAGAAACAACTCATCTCTCAACCAAGCATGAAAGCACTGAAACACGCTTGGAATCCATACTCTTCTTTAAAACCAGCGATGTTTGAAAGAGGCACTTACCGACGATCCTGTACAAAGTATTATCGCAGTGATGTTCACAATAAGAATATTAAAAAACTTCGCAATCCGATATATTCAAATGAATCCATCTCGATATGAATATGACTCTATCAAAAGAGTCGAGCTCGAGGCTCAATGGTATTTCCGGTCAAATTAAAAATTGGCAGCAGAGAAGGTCGCGCACTCTTCGTTTTCTCTTCAGCGATCAGGGGTTTGAACGAATTCGGAATTCGGGAACCATTGCATCCGGGCCGCAGCCGATGCACAGAGCACGGGCCTGAAGCCGCTCAGAGTTTGTCCCGAACACCCCCACAGATGTCTGGGTCGGGCGGGCGGGAAAAGTTTTAAAAGCTCAGCTCGAGCAATCAATCGTCACAAACACAGATATTATCAGTGATGCAAAGAAGCATGAGCATGCGACAAAAATCTGTAAAGCATGCCAAGTACTCTTCCTGAAAAACCACCCAAAAAGGGGGGGCGGAAAATTAAATCGAATAAAATGCTGTTGCCAAATGTCAAACACGGCCTGCGGCCTGTCGCTGATTTCAAAGAAAGAAAAGTCTGCAGGCAGAAAAGTTTCTTCTTTAAAACCAGCGATGTTTGAAGGAGGCACTTACCGACGATCCTGTACAAAGTATTATCGCAGTGATGTTCACAATAAGAATATTAAAAAACTTCGCAATCCGATATATTCAAATGAATCCATCTCGATATGAATATGACTCTATCAAAAGAGTCGAGCTCGAGGCTCAATGGTATTTCCTGTCAAATTAAAAATTGGCAGCAGAGAAGGTCGCGCACTCTTCGTTTTCTCTTCAGCGATCAGGGGTTTGAACGAATTCGGAATTCGGGAACCATTGCATCCGGGCCGCAGCCGATGCACAGAGCACGGGCCTGAAGCCGCTCAGAGTTTGTCCCCGAACACACCCCCTCGGATCGACGAACTCAGAGCAGGTAGGCATCAATCAGAGATTGGTCAGCAAAGTAAGGCTCTACCTTCGCTGCGCGAACGACCTTCTGTGCTTTCCAACCTTCGGGCCAGTCGGCAATGTTTGATAAAGAAGGTACCCTCTCTATCCACGAGATGCAAGGGGCGGCGGCCTCGACCATAGATAAAGCCAGGGCCAAGCGATGCATTGCGTCACTTCTGCTTTGACCGCGCAATACCACAGATCTAGCGGCATCGTTATCAATGAAGAAAATGACCCTCTTTCCTGAAAGAAAATTCTGAAGGCAGGCCCTGATCATCAGGAGGGCATAAAGCTCTTACCTCGCAGATGATTTGCTCTCCGACCTCCTCTCGCCAGCGAACCACAAGGCGCTCAGGAACTTCCCTTGGAAAACTCTGGATACGCCGCTGCCCGCATCAAGAATCACTGCTCCGATTCCGGCGAAAGCCTTGGCAGGCTCCCAAGCGCCATCCGTCCACACCAGGATGGGAGGCTCTCCAGTCGAATCGCAACTTATGAAGCGGGGCGGTGTGCTCATAAGAATCTTGATCGTGTGTCTGCACATCTCGCTGACAGTCTTTGGCGAAGGCCTGTCTCCAGCCAGAAAACCAGACAGCCATTTGCAAGAGTGCTTGAGAGCACGACCGGCAAAGAAACCAGAGGAAAAGTTGAGCAAGCCCAGCAAGACCTGAGCCTGATGAATCGTAAGGAAACCAGAGGAGGCCACAGATTCAAGTTTCTCTACTATCCGGTCGATCCTGCCAGGTTTGTTCGAGAGGACGATGCTTCTCTCTGACAAGTTGCTCAAATCAATCTGCATTCCCAAGACTGAGAAAACCTCCTCAAAGGGATGCGATTAGCTGCCTGTCTTGGCGTGGCCCCAGCCTAGAATGTCTAAGAATTCGCTGATGATGCCATCAGTGTCGCTGGAAGAAAGCGAAGTTGAAAACATCGGGAAGTCGTCAAAGTACACTGAGCTGGGCAGCTTGAATATCTTCAGCATCAGCTTGTAAAGACTTCTGCTCGTGCGCACGAACCCGTAAACCGAGGCAGTGAGTCTGAAGAGCAGCGAGTTCGCAATGAAGAATTGATCTTCGCCAGAGGGGCCCTTGTGGTAGATCACGGCAAGAGAGCGATGCTCCTTCTTCATGGGCATTTGCTTGTACGCCTTCGACAAGTCAATGCACTTGCCCAACCACGACCGAGGGGGCTCCCCCGTGGCGCGAGATCTCTCAGCCTCCTCGAGGGCAATCCTTGCTGCAAGAGCTGCAACGAAGTCGGAATTCTGAAGCTCCAGCTTGATGGTGGCCGTGAAGCAGTTGTTGATTAAAGCCTCGTGCCCGTCATCAATGGGTCTAGGTTTGTTCTCGGCTCCTTGAAGAATTAGGAACCGACGTATGCAGTTCCAATCGTCTGAGTGAAAGAAAGCCGACACCTGGGCCTCCGTGTAAGGACCTTCCAAGAAACCCAGATCGACCTCGTCCCTCGTAGCCTTCGACAGCACTTCCTGAAGGTTGGCCGGCTGCGTGCCACTTGAGCTAATCATGACCTTTCGGCGAAACGAAGCAGTACCCTTGAGATCCTGTTCCGACATAGTAGCCGGCACAATCTTTTTGCTGAAGGGCTGAGGGCAGGTCGACTGCCCAACAATCGGGACGCCTGACATCATGAAGTCGCAAACTTGCATGTCGTCAAAACCGTTCTGCTCGAGAAGGTGCTTCCACAGAAGCAGGCGCTTGCCCGCCACAACCTTTTCGAACCAAGGGTCAAACGAAGAATGTAGTCGAGCCTCGTCGGCCTCAAACTTTTTGGCAAGGATCCTGATCTTTAGAAGTTGAAGCCTGCGGTGATCGACCACGTCTTTCTCAGTGTTTTTCATGCAGAAGCTGATTGCATCAAGCTGATCCTGATCAAGGGCTACGGCAGTGTCGACGGGGTGCTTTAGCGTCAAGGCCTTCGCAACATGATCCTGCATCGACAAATACCACCCTACTTTGACGGGGCCTTTGGGCGGCTCGACACCCTCACGGAAACCAGAAGGGGGAACCTTGCTAGGAACCTCATCCGAAACCCTAGAAAGCTTTGCAGGAGGGTTGACCACTTTAGAGTCACTAGCAACCCATCTTTCAGAAGCAGCTACATCATCAACTGCAATGCTATCTTCGGCTGCCTTCTCTCTCCCGCCATCCTCCCCAGCAACCTGAGAGTGAAGGATGCGACAAGAATCATCAGGCTGGAAAGAAGGCGGCTCCCACGTGACTTTGTGGAACTCAGGGATCAAAGGAGGGAAGCGGCGATGCTGCCGACCGAGCGCAGCAACGGAGCTGGCTGCCAAGTCAGGCGATGCTTGCAAAAAGAAAGCCCCAAAAAAGAAGCCGCGCTTTCCAGGCAAGAGGCCATGCGCTTGCAAAGCAGAACTGGGTATGCCGACACCAGAGAAGATGACAACTGCATAGTGCGCTCATGGAAAGCAAGGCCCCATGGGCGATGTGTGTGATTGCCCGGGCAAGTAGCTCGAAGCGACCTCTAGTGCACAAGAAACGAGTTGACTTCGGTCTATCGGAACCATGACAACACTGGTCGAAATCGACATACTCCAAGGCAGCAGGTGGCCAA